TCAATATAGGATCCCTTTGATCGACCCCTAGCCCTCTCAAGCTTAGGTTGAAATTAGTCCCGCACGGCCTAAATTCTTCTTCAGGGGGGTTCAATGATAACCTACGTGCGGTGGTCTTTTCTCACTTGGGGCTGCTCCCAATACTTCATCATCATCAGGTTTTTCACAATCTTATGTTCAAGGCCTGCAACGTCGGCAGCTCGTTGGAGAAACTGTAAAGTATTGGCTATGCGCCGCGGGTTCAGCTCTTCCGGTGAAGATGAACGAAAGGCGGATCGCAGACTATGCCGAAGAACATGCCGTGCTGGGGTAGAATAATTGATGGCCTTCAAGCCCTGGCGATACAAGTGGCGATAGGCATGGACAACAGCTTTCTGATCCACAACAGACTTTAAAGTCTGGGTAGGTGTAATCATCCTGCCGCGAAAGGGAGAAGGAGACCTCTGGGTCACAGGCAACTGATACTAGAATTTCCCCTCGTCACCACCACCCTTATTCTTTTGATTCACCACTCAGCAAGATGTCAGAATGCGCCAACATTACTGTGAATCGCTCAACTGCTTCTCCGATCCAGTTAGTGGCAATCAGAGTGGAAGGTGATGGATATAATGACAGGAAGATTGAATATGTAGCTTGGTGGTCGCAAATTGGAGTGAATGAGGTAGGTCACGCTAGCCCCGATCAGGCAGGCACCAGCGGCGCCCGCGCGTTAGGCCGCAAATGGTTTAAGTTTGGTTGCCCTCCGGCGCTCTCGTTCCCTCTCCCACCTTTCCCTTTAAACCTCATCCACCAGCCCAACCCAGCCTGTTGGAGGTTCTTTTGTATACTACCCCCGGCTGCCGCTATCTTTGCTGCTCTGCCTCGCTATATGCTCCTATAGTTGGGAGGTCAGCGTTGAACCGGCTAACTACCTTTTCGGTCTCATCAAGCACCCCCCCCCCTTATTTCGCGGTATCAGGGCTAGTGCATCATCTTGTTGGCCAAAACGGTGGCTAGACCGACTTGAACAGCTATCGGCTTGTTCCAGTTTAGTCCATATTCTTGACTTTCTGGGACTGCGGTTCATGCATAGGATCTTTTTCATTGTGTAGAATATGGCTTACTAACTTGGAAACACCCGTGTGACTACTAGCTGTCTATCGACGCGTCTGTCTAACCATTCGCTCTCGATGAATGATCCTGGCCCCCACGGCTTCATTCCATGCAGTGTGTATATCCGAACCGGTACCGGTAAAATGAAGGCTTGTCTTCTGTAGCTACTTGGGAAGGTTCTACATTGTCAGCATGGCCCGAGTATCTCGGAGACCTCCCTCGGTCCTTGCCAGGCGAGCCCCGAGCAGGATCGTCAAGAGAAATGCTCGCAAACATAGAGTGATTCTGGAATCTGTTACTCAGGAGAAGAAAAAACTTCGAAGTGTCGTATGTTGTTGTGCTATCAGTTTCTCACGGGCACTCTTGACCAAGAAAACAGATATCTTTTGAAGCAAAGGCCCCTCCTGGTTATACCTTCATACCTGCAGGCAACCCTCAGCTTACAACGGCATGTAAGGAATTATGTCGGAAGGATGGTCTGAAGGTATTCGCTGTCACGGTATGCCGACAGCTGTATCCATATTCGGTCCTTGGTTCTCGTTTATCTAATAGCTATGGTTAGACAACGCCGCATATGCACACCCACAATCTCTCCCAGCATGTACATCGAATAGGTTATCACTTTCCAAGCGCCGCGGTCGCAGCAGTGTGCATGGATCTGGGTCTCTATCTCACGGCCGCTGGGAAAGCGGTGCCCTTTCGCACGGTTGGCGGTGAGAACGACCGCAAAAGAGCTAATTCAGAAGTCTCCCAGACAACTATAAATACAGAAGCGAGAGATGTCTTGAGAGACCTGTTCCCCAACATTCCCGATAATGATCTCAATCAAATCATCAAGACCGCTTTTCAAAAGGTACGTGACGAGCCCAAGGAGAAAAATAGATGGGAGGGAACCATGATATACGAATGCGTGACAGATGCTGAGACCGATTTAAGGGCCAGCGAAAAGTAGGAACGGCAGTTGAGCTACCACTGGCTCGTCGGGCTCAGTTAGCGGTTGTGGCACATATCCGACACATTTACACTGACTACGATCGTCTCCTGAAGGCGACATCCTTTCATGAAGCTCGGACCGTGGTCGAAGAGCCCACCCTTGCAAAATTAGTGGAGTGGAGAGGAGACGATGAGAATGGGAAGACAGTCCTGGAGGACGTCTTCCGAGAGGTCATTGTCATATCGGATGATGAGGACAGTGATGTCGAGGGAGAGCCGTTCTCACCTAATAATCGCGATAACAGCGTGATGGTGGTTTCCAGTAATCCCCAGGCTGACGAGCTTCAAACAAGGACGCTCAATTATGCAAACCCTGCCCTTCGTGATACCCAGTTAGATCTGTCGGATGAAGAAGCACCACCAGGCTTCCGCTACATTCCAGAGCCCCCCAGAAGACATAAGATTGATCGTCGAGGCTTCAGCAGATATCAGGCTTGGGACCGCGCTCTCAACCGATATAGAAACATAGCAAACGAAACTAACCAGCACAGACTGCATGATGCCTCCGAATCTCGGGGCCCGGTCGTCACTCGACAGCCATTGCCAGGACCTGTTCGGCTTGAATCAGAGTCTGCTCATAGGCCTCATGTTTCGATGGCACCCGTTGCTATGTCTAGTGCAAGGCCCATCAGTACCAACATAGGTAGGACGGTCGCGGACTCTGTAATGGAAGGGGTAAGCCACCCAAGGTCTAGATTTGTGTTTATCATAACCGTGCTCTATGATCTACACTGAGAGAACTGCTTCGAGCTAACTTTGAACGAGCAGTATGAACTGCACCGTATGCCTGAACTGCCTGCTCAGAGAAAGGAGATTGCACCTGTATCAAGTGCGGTTTCTTTGGAGCGAGTGCCAGTCATTCAACAGCAGAAGCGTTCATATCAGCGAGAAGACTCGCCAAATGCGCCTGTATTTGTGAGTGGTCCAAGAGAGATTCATGAGATGACCGGGGACCCAGCCGTCCTCCCAAGACCTCTGGCCTCGTCCCAACATAGGACCAATGTACAGCCACAGGATCATGCATTGCCTTCTATTGAGACTGCCACACCCATGGAAATCCGACGCCCCAATAGTGGCCAGCTGGATTACCTTGCCAAAAGGATTTCCGGAGATTTCTCGATTCGCTCAATAACCCCTCACCGTCCCGCTCGCCAGGAGATGATACACCACGATTCAGATAATTCTGATCGAGATCAAGCTTCTAAACGGAGACGTATGGGCCACTACGAGCGTGAACGGCTCTGTCATACTCAAGCCAGGGTTGTCACCACTGGTGCAGCGTTCCCTTACACAAGCGGCAGGTATCAGGATACCCCTGGACATACTCACCTGAAACCCTCTTCAATCCAGGACGATATTCATTTCCGTAGGAGATATGCCGCCCCCGTTGGATCACATCCTGTTGCGGAGGGTCACCCGGAAAGAACGCAATACTCCACTTATACTACCGCACCTGGCCCCAGGACCGTGACTGCCGTGCATCAGAGGCCATCGGAAGACGTACATGGCCATGCATCTCATTTTGTGCCTTCCGGGCTGCCCATCCAGTACAGGTCTCCAGGGCAATCTCAAGTTGTGCCAAGTACAAGATATGCTATTCCTGAGGATAATGCTACTGATAGGCTTGTTCCTGTGCGGCCCAATGAGTTGAGAGAGCGACGTGTCTATCATGAGGTTCCTAGATATAACTCTGGCAGTTTAAGACCGCTTGACGTGGCTCAGCTGGAGGATCCTGCTCGTCGCGGCAGAGAATATGACCCGCCTTTGGTTTCACAGGAAGCGTCTCAAGGAAGACACTATGCGGAGGACTTCGTTCGTGCCGTTGACGTACGGGATCCTGTTCCAACAAAGTATCCAGTGCAGCGTCGTCTTCAACCTGCAACTTACCCAGTCCACCCCCATCCTCTCTCGGCTGGAATTCCGGTGCAGACCGAACAATACATGCGTAGTTCGCCCGGTAGCACAGAATGGAGCAGGCCCGTTGGCCGTGTTTGTCTGGATTCCCGGGCAGGACCCGCTATCCAGGATTATGTTGTGGCCGATCATCATGGTCCAAGCAATTATGCTGACAGGGTACCTAATCCGCCTTTTACAGCCCGCCACTACGTCAGAGGGTATGAAGATGCTGTGGACACTTCACGGTATGGACCTTGCAGCTGGGTCTGCGCGTGCTGCCCCCTTCTTAGTTTTTGAACTTGTTACTAACGGACGCGAACGAACAGGCAAGCCTATGACCTTCCACACGATGGCTCGCGCATGGAAGAACAACGCTATCCTACCTATGTAAGACGCGTTGAGCGGGTTCCCTATACGGTTCCTGAGGGTCGAACTGTTGTCATTGTGGATTAGAAGGCTTCGGGTTGTGTTTGTCGATGGTGTTCTATGTAGATGTCCGCATATGCGTTGCTGTACATAAATCTTGAGCTTGAGCGTCAAGCGGATATGATACCCGACCACGTGTCAACAACAACAAATCTGACAAGCGATGTGCTTACCTCGCTTTATCACGCAGCTACTCTGAGTTTAGAGCACTACTACATGCACTCGTGTCTCTTACGCGTATACCCGCAGAAGTCGTCGTCATCACCAGCCACAACGTTAGCAGACACATTGCGCGCAGGCAGCAGACAGACAAACAAATCACCCATGAAGGTCAATCACAAAAGTTTGAACGTAGTCAAATAATAGCGCTATATACAACCATGCAGACAGCAGCAGCAGGTCAGGGGTATCAGGGTATCTCGCAACACTACCCAAAGCAGTAGCCCCTCTTCCTATTATTTCAATATATGCATGCATAACACTGCCCTCTTCGGACGAAAGCTTCGTCACCTCCCCAAGGCCAACCCCGGGCTCCATATGATTCTTCTGATTTTGCTTTTTCTTTTTCCGTTTTCCCTTTTCTTTTCTTTCTTTTAGACACTCATAGTCTGGCCATCAGCCTCTCCACTGTTGACCGTCTTTCCAGTCTTCTTGATCGTAGCCAGCACGGTATCGTAGGGCACAGAAGGTTCGGTGACAACGTTTGCGGTCTGGGATTCCAGGTTGACGTCGAAGGACTTGACACCTGCGGAGGAGGAGAGAAAGTCAGCGAAGCGGTTCAGTGCACTTGCTTGTTATTCTGTTTGACGATATTCTGGAAAGAAGGGGGGTAGGGAAGAAAAACATACCCTCGAGCTTCTTCAGGACTCGTTCCACGGCACCGGAGCAACCGCCGCAGCTCATGCTGACGTTGAACTTGTATTGGTGGTCGGACATGGTGTTGGCGGGCGGCGTGTGTACGTGAGAGAGGGAGAGAGCAAATAAGTGGTGTGTGGTGTGTGTGGATGAACAAATAAGTAAATAGAGAAGATAGAGATGACGATGGCGGGGCTAAAGCAAGGAGAGGAGGGGTGGAGACAGACGGGGGGAACGTCGATCGATGGGCGTTTCGAGTTGAGGCAACAAAATATGCTGGCGTGTAAACTGCCACAGCAAATAGCGACGATTATTAAGTAGTTCCTGGGAGTAGTAGGTCTATAGACGACGAGATGGAAAGAAAATGGGAAAGAGTGCTTTGAGGAACAAAAATGAACCTCGTCGCGTTGTTCTTATACTTCCCAGGGTTGGATATCGCAATCCCGAGGCGGGGCAAAGAATGCGCAGAAATCGCTCATTGTCTTACCAATCAAGCCGCTACAACTGTACATCTACTAATCTATTCGGGGTTGTTTGAATGCTAATATTCCATTTGGATGAATAAATAACCTATCAGGGCTGCTTTAGAAACCGGCCGCGCGCTTCTTTTTGCGCGCCTTCATTACATTCTTTCGCCCAGCTTCTCGGCCACCAAATGCGCCCCGCTCGATCTGTGTCATCGGAACATCGTCCTCGATAACCTGACTGCTTTGCAGTCTGAGAACAGGCGCCTCATTGTGCTCTGGTTGACTTCCCCACCCCCGCACATCAGGAGTAACAGAAGTCATCGGGGCTGGGGCTGGTGCGGGTGCGGGTGCGGATACATTCCCACTATTCACAGTGGTGGTTCCTTGCGTTGATGGAGTCTTCTTGCGTTGACGACGTTTCGGTGTCGCTGCCTTAGATGCTGATTGCGACTCCTCGGTTCCTTGAAGCTGCATTGCCCTCTGCCAGTTGTACCCAGCCGGGTCGGCACCTGGTTGCCAATGGCCCAACATGCTCGCCACTTTTCGAGGCATATTCCGCTCGTGACTAAAGGTAGTATATGCTGAGAGGCTGGTATATGTAGGTTCCATGTCCCGCAGGCTTTCAGTCTCAGGTTCCCCGCGTCCAAGAGTGCTTCCAGGCGTCGTGCCGCTGCCTGGATCATCCAAGCTACCGTTTCCTGTCCACGCTGGTCGCTGAGACACCCGCCTCGCACTTCTAGAGCTCGATGCATCAAAGGGGTCATCCATCGAAATCATTGATGATGATGATGGAATATCCCCTGAGTTTATCCGCCTGCTGTCATCCGATTCATCAATCCCGGAGAGCGTCCGAACTCTAATGCGTATCTGAGCCAAAATCAGATCAGCGACAACTCCACGGATGATCTTCTCTTTCGTGAATCTTGTGCGCCCAGGAAGATGGTGAGGCAGGCCAGCCAGCCAGTCATTGGTAAGCAGATCATAGATTGCAGGAAGGTCCAACCCCGAAACCTCGTATATGAAATCCGCCGATCGAACGAGAAGTGGACTAGAATGGCCAGACGGTTGGCGGTCAGCTTTCCAATCTAAGAGAGCTAGATGGTTGCTGGAGAGAAATTCCTGGAGCCTCCGCGAGTTCTGTTCGACACTGTCAAGCATTGGACTACTGCCAAGGGCCTCGAGACTAGGAACATCAGTAAAAGATAGTCGGTATATAGCAGTAGATTTACTTACCCTGTGCGACATGTCTGGTCGTTGCTCACCCCAGCACCAGTCGTCATTTCGCTTAGCACTTGCATAGCCTCCTCAAAACTCCTTTCCAAAAATTGATTACCTAGGTCGTCTTCTCGCGATGACAGCGTTAACCTTCCAGTAGCAGCAGCGTAGACTTGGGTGTAGTCGAGAGACCATTCAGGGATTGCAAGTGGCGTTATGCTAGACATCCCAGTGTCTGCGGTTGTGAGCATACCGCTTCCCAGCATGGATTCCTCGCAGTCCTCTACTACAAATCGATCTTCGAAGTAAGTCGACTGCGACCTTTGCACTCCTTGATGCCTTTTCTTCACTCGTAAGACATCTCTTGCGGCTGGTTCATCATCCTGGGAACCATCGTGGGAGGGTGCCGTGTAGATTGATTCGCGGACAGTAAGGCCTGAGTCTACCGCAAAAAGCTTTATGAGTCTAACATGAGGGTCGTGGTATTGTTTACCGACTGACGATGGCAAATGCGTGATTTCCTTGAAGACCAGTGTTGTCAGCTGTGTGTTGGAGTGTCGAGAGCCTTCAGTGTCAGGAGATGACAATGGGATTTCCATTATATAGGGGTCTGGTATCGATGTCACATCCGTTTGGTCCAGGGACGAAGATGGGCATTGCAAGGTTAGCGCAATATTGTTGAGGCGCGAGTATACAACGAGATAAAAGTCTATCGAAAGGATCAGTACATGTGCTATGAAAGAGAGAGATCTGCGGTCATCAAGCTACCTTCCCGCACAAGTAGAGGAGTCAGTCGCAATGTGGTGTCCTCGGGATCACGGAAATGGCGCCAGGACAAACGGGGTAACAGAGGCGGTCGTGAGTCTTTGTCGGTTGCACTGCTCGGTTCAGGGCATGATGTTAAATCCAGCCAGAATATTCGAGTTGTCGTCAAGATGAAAACATGCGACACGTTGGCAGAACTTCTCTTAATGTCCAGAATCCACTCTGATCTTCGCTTAAGGCCTAGCTCAATTGTATATGGAAAAACCTCGCCGCTTTCCATGCGATAGAGCATTGGGCAGCGTCTATCAGAGACAACAAAGCTGTTAACATCACCGACCCATTCAATAGCAGCCCATCCATCATGACGAGGGTGGTCGTCGATGTCTTGGCCGTCTCCAAGATCGAGCCACGGCAATGAGCCAGAATTGACAGATACAGCTGTCCAATTACCCTTGTTGCGCCTGTGTCGGCCGGAAAGTTCCCAAACACTCCAATGACCTCGTTCATCAACAATAGCCAACTGCTTCTGATACCAGGGATTGAAAGTCACGTCCGCATGCGCAAAGCCTCCGGTCCGCTGGATTGGTATCTCCACCAATGGGTTCGCATCCAGGCGAGACTTGATAGAACGGTCGGGAAATTGGTGGTCACTCCCATGCAATCCTATGACAGGCACTGGCGTTCGGTGATACTGTGGTCGGAAGATGGTAGTCGAGCGGGGCAAACGAGCTGCCATCCACGTCGCATTATCTTCAACCGTCCGCGCAAAGCAAATTTGACGGACAGGAGCCCCTCCCGCCGACCATTCAACGGACTCCGTCTGTCCAATTGCAGGGACACGCGCCCAGGAAGTCGTCTTCCGTCGGAGTTCCACAACATCGTCTTCGATTTTTCGAAAACTGATAGTGTTGCCGCACTCTCCGGATGCTATGACGGCGATAGGTATAACTCGGCTTCCCGAATCGCTATTTTCGAGATCGACCGCATATCCTAAATCAAAGAGCGTCGAAATTGAAGAATCACATATGTCGCAGCCAGTGATAGCATGAGAGACGGTTTCGTTGTCGACTAGAGGCCAGCAAGCTGCAAGCTGGGGGTAGGCGCGAGGCAAAAAGCCCTTATTCTCGGTTGAGGAAGACTGCAGTGCAGTGAGGGACGATTGAACCGTAACTTTGGTCACTCCGGAGTAAGAGATACATGAAGCTCCAGGAGGTGTCAGTCTTTCGAACCGGCTCGCGTCGATCTTCCAAACCACTTACATGGAGCTAAAGTTCGTGAAAAGACCCATGTGTGAGCTTCTGAATTGTACGTTGGTTTCCCCAAATGCCCATATTGCAGAGCACCCACAGAGTGTTCATCCATCAGGTCTGTTTCTGCTCCTGGCGATATGCGCTAACTCTAGCCTTCTAACCGTGGGCATATCGAGAACCAAAGTACAACGTCTTGGTCACAGCTTGCGGACTAGTAGACGAGTCTCCCGGCAGTGTGCTCAAATGCAACTGCTTCTGACAGCTGTCAAATCATAATTCATGCATGCGCAAGGGTAAATGAAACATTGGATTATCTCGCGAAGGAAAGACCAGGCAAAAGAAAAAAAACGGGTGATAGATCGATGCCAAGCTTTCGTTAGTCTGGAGCCCGGCGGTTGCGCCGCAACACCGCGCTTTAGCGGCGCGCTCGAGAACATGAAACAAAGTCAGTAACCATCATCACCCCCGCATCGCATATATCGCAATCCTCACAGACTACAACTACATCGGCACCAATAAAGCGTCAAGCTAGATACACCATGAGCTCATCTTTCGATCCGTCGCTCTCGACAAGTGGCATGCGCCCGCCTCTCGCGTCGGCGGATGCACCGTCCATGGCGGATTCACTCCCCAGTATCAACTTCGGGTTTGAGGATCTCCGGAATCGCATGGCACAGTTTACTGCTCGCTTTGATGCATTCATCGAGAGAGGTCGCAAGCAGGTATTGGAGGAGAGGAACCAGTTCAAGATTGGATTGGCAGAGCTACAGGGTAAGCTATCGCTTTATGGAGATGGCGCTAGAGCATCGGACTAATACAGGTCATATAGAGGATAAACGCATGAAGCAAAGGGATATCGAGATCCTGGACCTCAAATCGCAAACGCACCAACAAACACTACAGAAGGAAGCCGCTGAAGCAGCGGAAATGCACGCCGCCATTTCATCCGTGACCCTGGAACGTGACTCCCGCCTCGCCAAGCGCGACCGCCTCAAGCAACAAATCGACGAGACCCAAAAGGCGATCAACCAGAAGCTGGAGGCGCAGAAGATGCACGCCAGGTATCTGGATGCTCAAGCTCGGCTGAACGTGCCGGAGTTGGACTTTTGGCAGGACTATCTATGTTTACGCATTGAGGGAGCCGGACGGGAGGATAGACTAAAGTTTGTGTACACCCATCTGCTCGAAAAGGACTGGGAAACGGAAGCGTGGTTTGAACTCGGCACAGGGAGCCGCGATTACGCAGTATTCCATACACGACCAAAACTCGATCGGGAGGCTCTCGAGCGGGAGCTCGATATCGTCAATGAGGATCGCGACTTTGGTGCGTTCTTGAAAAGAATGCGGAAGCTGTTCGTCGATACAATGAAATAGGGAGGAGATAAAGGCTACTTCCGCTTTGGAAATACCAAATAATGATTAATGTTTTAATACCTGTGTTTGCTTCACTTTGGAATCAGGTCCTACTATGATAAGGTTTCCGTTCAGGCAATGCAAAAGGTCACTTATAGAGGCTTCCTTCGTCTCGGCATACTGAGGAAGATGCCTGAAGTAGCTCGCTGGTAAGGAATTCGTACAACAAATTCATTGGTTGATTCGTACACAGCCTATGCACTAACCACCAGTGGCCTCACGGTAGAATGATATGCTCCTGTTTGCACCAGCCGTGGCAAATCCTACTGATCTTCCGATCTTCGCCAGCCACTTGACACTCCAGATTGCTTTGTCTGTTTCGGAATGGGTGGCCACACATGCTCTTGTGTCTATCGACCAAACTTTGACCTTTCCATCAAACGACCTTTTGAACGTTAGATAGCATGCTCAGGGGGAAATGCATAGCAACTTACCCGCTGAGAAGATACTCCCCCGTGGGGCTCCACGACAGCGACATGACCCATGCGGTGTGCCCCGAGAGACTCGCCACTTGTTCACCAGAGGACGTGTCATAAAGCACAATTACCTTGGAATCTCCAGCAGCAGCAAGAAACTTTCCTCCAGGGGAGAATGCAACAGCTCGTACAGGTTTAACCAAGCCTGTATATACATATTAGACAATCACTCGGCACTTTTGTCTACTTCATTTGTACTTAGCTAGCACAATAAAGTACGCACCTGATAGGCTGAATGGCATGCGTCCGCTTTCTGTACTGAAAATGTAAACACTACCATTTTCGTGTCCGCTTGCTATGAAGCGGCCATCCGCGGACTAAAAAGTTTATTCATGAGTTTAGGCACCAACAGTGGCAGAAGTGGACGAGTCTTCACCTACCAAATCTATGCAGGTGCCGAAGCTACCTTTGGTTTCATAGTCTCGGATTTCCTCGCCATTAGTGTCCAGATCCCACACCTTGATATGACCATCTTGCGTAACACCGGCAAGATATTGACCATCTTCGGACAAAGCGATGGCCCAAACGTCCGCAGGTGTTGCCTTGTTGACTGGGTCACGGTCAGACACAGGACTGACACAGCGGAGTACTAAAGTACCTACCAGACGCTCCCTCATCCTTTGCCCAGACTCCGTCATGGCAAGACCAAATCATGATCTCACCGCCAAAGCCAATACTGACGGCCCTCGAACCATTTCCGTTAGTAACCACATGATGGCACCCGACTTTATGGGCACCGTCAATAGACTGTACTAGCGGAAAATCGGGATCTGTAGTGGAGTGAACTTTGAGGGAAGAAGTACCCGAGGCCGACAAGATCTGCTTGTCAGTCACGGCCAGTGCGAAGATATCAACAGGGTGGGCTGGTCGTGATATTAGTATATGCCAGGGTTTGTAGGGAGTCATTCAAGATATACGAACCATTGTCTGCAGAACCGCAAGAGAGATATTGTTTCGACTAAACTCAATCGTTTCCCCAGTTAGAAACTACCTCAACAGCGTTATGGTTCCCCATGTTCAAACATTACCATTCTTAGACCAGACGCTCTATATGCCTAGGCAGAGTAGGCCCCAGGCGAATTTGAGCACGCTGTATGGTTGTTGAGAGGAGTACGAATGTTGTTTGGGACGCGAGTTGATGATCATGGCGGGACAAACTAGCTGGCGGCCGAATGAGATCATGTTTCCAATGGCACCCACCACTACAGCGGACCTTCAATGGAAGACTGACATCCTCTGCCCGACCCTACTAAATTTACCAAGTCAATGCAATTGAAACATGACATGCGAAGATCTTAATTCTTTTTTAATTGATCTCTGGCAAGATATACAAATATACAAAATGGCCACAGTATAATTTAAAATATAAATAACCAACACTAATATAGATAACCCTCAGGCTGTGCCAGACGCCGAATGCCATGCAGCATTTATCCTACACTTCATAAAATACCAGGTAAAAATACAATCCCCCAATGCAAATCAAGAATCTGTCCGTTTTCTTTCATCATATATCTCGCCGTCTTTCGCTCTTTAAGCCGTCTGAGTTTGCTTCCATTGCTTCTTGACACCTAAAGGACAATTCACAATCAGTCGCTGAGGATGGCTTAAAATGGGAACGGAATCGCAGAGAATTTGCACCTACTTTCGACGCAGTGGGGGCACAGGACGTGCGAGCGCTTCACCTGGCCACATCCGGAGCATGTGCTGAGACTCTTGACGTCCTTCAAAGCCTTGCCAGCCATTTGTCGATGACGCTTCTTCATGTGAGAAGTCTTCTTCTTGGGGACGGCGCGGAGAACAGAGTCCCAAAGGCCCTCCATGATCCCAGGAATGCTCAAGGAAATGGCGGCGGGCTTAAGCCAGTTGTGAGACCAGGCGGAGGCATTGATAGCGAAACGAGACCACCGTCCTACGGCGGCGGCGGAAGACACGGTTTCCGTGAGCAGGAGGCGTCGCGAGAGCATGGGGGCGGACATGGTGGAGGGAAGGAGTCGTAGAGCCAGAATTCGGGAGGTGCCGATAAGAGCTGAGACAGGAATTGGAGCTCAGATTGGGGAGGAGAGAATTGGGCGAAATGGCTGGCAAGGCGGCGGCATAAAATCGAATAATTCTGAAGCTTTTCCACCGATTTGGGGTCTGGAGACACGCTAATCCGTTGGGGGAATAGCGGGCCCCCTGAGTCGCAACCACCGCTTTTGGGTTGGATGGCCAGAGCAACGCAGCTTTAAGGGGCCCCCGGTTGTTCTGCTTCCACTCCCTCCCTCGCTCGAAAACGCTTGGGCATCGCCGTTGCTCTTGTTCTCCTCGATCTACTACTTCCTAACTACTACTTGGTGGGCTGCCCCCCTCTTTTTTTTCTTCTTTCGCTGTCAATTCCTCTCCAATCTCCCCATTTGTTTACCTCGTCTTCGTTTTCACCTTTCCCTCTCTAACCAACCATCTCCCCACCCCTTGGGACGCCCCGTCGACTGATAGATATACCATCCTTCGTTTGCTCTCAATCCCTCTCTCGTTATCATCTTCAAGCGTCCTTCTTCAAAATGGCAGCCGCAGCCAATTCGTCTTCCACCAATCCCGCGACGGTCTTCCCTCGCAGCCACGTCGGTTTCGACAGCATCACCTCCCAGATCGAGCGCAAGCTGTTGAAACGTGGATTCCAATTCAATGTCATGTGCGTTGGTGAGTCGACTCTTTCACCTACCATGTCCGAGAAAAGAGAGCCCCTTCCCTCCCTGCTAACATGGACGAAATAGGCCAGACGGGTCTGGGCAAGTCCACTTTGATCAACACCATCTTTGCTTCGCACCTTATCGACTCCAAGGGTCGCATGACCCCCAACGAACCTGTCCGCTCGACCACCGAAATCCAGACCGTTTCGCATAGTATGATTCCTACGCCATTGCCATTTCACTCCTGGCAGAGCTAACCGCCTCGTTTTTAGTCATTGAGGAGAACGGCGTGCGTCTGCGTCTCAACATCGTTGACACTCCCGGATACGGTGACCAGGTCAACAACGACAGATGGTAATAGATATTAACCCGCAACATCTGTAACCGAGCTAATGAGACTACTAGCTGGGATCCCATCGTGAAATACATCAAGGATCAGCACTCCGCATACCTCCGCAAGGAGCTTACCGCTCAGCGTGACCGGTACATCCAGGATACCCGTATTCACTGCTGTCTGTTCTTCATCCAGCCGTCCGGCCATGCGTAAGTCTCATCGAGCGTTCATCACCGAGAACTTCTCCCGGGAGGCTAACCGACTCTACTTTCATTCAGTCTCAAGCCCATTGATATCGTTGTGCTCAAGAAGCTGTCGGACGTTGTCAACGTTGTGCCCGTCATCGCCAAGGCCGACTCCCTTACCCTCGAAGAGCGTCAGGCATTCAAGGAGAGAATCAAGGAAGAGTTTGCCTTCCACAACTTGAAGATGTACCCCTACGACAATGACGAACTTGATGATGAAGAGCGTGCCGTCAACGTCCAGATCAAGGTACGCGAATCATTGTTGCACAACATTCGGTTTATCTCTGCCTCTAACGCCGGTCCAGGACATCATTCCTTTTGCTGTTGTGGGTAGCGAACGCACCATCGTCGTCAATGGCCAGCAGGTTCGCGGACGTCAAAACCGCTGGGGTGTTATCAATGTGGAGGATGAGAACCACTGTGAATTCGTCTACCTGAGGAACTTCCTCACTCGCACTCATCTGCAGGACCTTATCGAGACGACCAGCCAGATCCACTATGAGACCTTCCGTGCCAAGCAGCTGCTAGCACTGAAGGAAAGCAGTGCCGCTGGGAGCCACCCCGGTAGCAGCCGTCCCATCAGTCCTTCGGCGGACAGAGAGCTCAGCCGCAACTCGCAACGCATGACTATGAACGGTTATTAATTTGGCTGAGAATCAGTTGATGGCGGTGGTCTCGTGGAGCGACCGTTTGAAACGAACCATTGCCATGTATCCGCGATCCATCAAAGGCCCAGAAATGCAGTCTTGAGGGTCGCTTTTCTTTCCATGTTTTGATTTTACTGCACCACCTTCTTATCGGCATGTTCTTACAGATATCCTCTTTAACTTCAGGCTTTTCCTTATCGTATTAGTGTTTATCCTACCCTCTCCACCATTGAATGAGGGGTATTCGTCTTGCTTTGTTTCATATGAATTGGTTATTCCAGGTTGAAAAGAGCTAGCAACGAAAGCGCTAAGCGTTGTCTCGTCATTTCCTGTACTTAATTCCCTTAATTGCGCATCGCCAGGAGAATATAGCTGGTTCGAAACAATGAGTCATTACTGTTCTTTGCACAGTAAAATCTATGGGAATCACATGGTCTAAAACTCCATACTAAACAAAACGCGCAATGGCCACTGCAGCATCAGACTGTCTGTAAGCGACTATTGCGACGCACCGAAGTTTCCACCATCAACGATCCAATCTCTCAACTCCGTATATGCCTTCTCCAAATCGTCATTAACGACGACCTTGTCGTGAGCCCCCGGCTCCTTGGCATATTCGAGCTCGTTCTTGGCTTGTGCGAGACGCTTGGTCAGGCTCTCCTCAGTCTCCGTGCCTCTCCCGCGCAATCTCTTCTCCAGCTCCTCCACCGAGGGGGGCGCCAGGAAAAGGAAACGGGCGTTGAGATCGGTACGCTTCACCTGCTTGACTCCCTATTCCAGTAAAATGCTATCAGCATCTTCTCTGAACGCTTATACCATGCATCGCGGCATCAATTTCGCCGGCAACAAGAATGAACAGATCCTTACCTCCATCTCGATATCAAGGATACAGATACGGCCCTGCTCCGCAATGTTCTTGACCGCTTGCACACTAGTGCCGTAGTAGTTTCCGCCGAATTGCGCATGCTCGATGAAGCCGTTCTTGCTCACAAGATCTAAAAAGTCCTCCTTTGTCGTAAAATAGTATTCGCGGCCATCCTGCTCACCCGGTCTAGGAGCACGAGTGGTATCTATTGTCGCAAAACACCAGGTCAAATTACAGTGCGTTCGTGCTGACAGGGTGACAATCAGGGGAGGTTGAACGAACGCGAGATGGAAAAACCGAAGCGATCAGGAATCTCCGCGAACAGTCGCTTCAGCAGAGTCGATTTTCCTGTACCTGAGGGACCGGACACCACCACCGGACGGAACTTGTGCACTAATTTGGGAGTCATGGTCAGGATATTGATTGAGTCAACCTTTCCTGACACAAAAAGACGCACCAGCACTGGTAGCCATTGTCAACACTGAGGAGCGGACTGCTGAAGGCGTACGAATAATCTTCAAATAGGAAAGAACACGGGGCCTCAACGGGCAAGAATGCATGAATTAATTGTATATGTATGGGAAGCCGGAGGTGGGATGTCGGTGCTTTGCCGTTACTTTGGGTGGCACCGTTACGGCAGAACCAGAGGCGGTGGGGGAGCGCCAGCCGTTTTAGGAAAAGATATATAAAGTTAGGACAAGGTGATGGCGAATACATATTCTGATAAGAGCCTGCTTATCGTACAACCTATTAAAAAAAACACCCGCATCTGTCCGGATTCTACTTAGGATTGGTCGAATTCTGAGCAGCAGTGACAGCAGCCACAGTGTCTCTATTTCACGGCTTTGGTGGTAATTGCTCGGCACTCTGCGACTCCTGCTCCAAGAAATTGGACCACAGCTCCGCTAGCGACTCTTTGTTGGAGTTCCCATTATCCAGGAATTCCGTTGCCAAAGTCTGGCTGCTCGGCGTGCGGTGGACGGGAGTGCTCGGCACTCTCAGTTTGCTAGACGTGCTAGACGCCCCTGGACGCGCCAGACCTGCCTGCTCACGTTGCTCTATTGTGTAATGTCAGCATTAATGTATATGTAGAAATATATCAGGCGCCGGTGTGGTTCGCTCACCATCAGACCAGCCTAGGAGGGCGGCAATAAGCTGCAGGATCTGGAACTTTTTGGGATCTGACCGGTCGAGAGCAAGGAAATGCAACAAGTGGTTCGTGACAATATGACTATAGCAGCTTGTAAGCAGTGTTCTTCGGAAGATTTGGACTCATTGGCGAAAGTCTGACATACCGGTCAACATTGTCCTCTGGCTTGCCTTTCTTGAGGAACCGCAGGGCCTTTGTCAGGTGGTCGTTCAGCGTTACTGCTTCATGTCGGAGCTTCCCAATCAGGAGGTTCTTTTCCTTGACCTCTTTCTCAAACGGCCGTACCCGCTCGAGCTCTGTTTGGGCATCCTGGAGAGCTTTGTCGGCCTTCGAGGCTTTTTCCTCTGCGCCTTGAAGCGCCTGCTTCAACTCTTCTAGCTGAGCATCGGAGCTTTCCACAAGCTCACGGAGTTCCTTTTTACGTGCTATTGCCTTGTAAGCATCTGCAGTCGTCATTTGCACACGATTATGCTCTCACCTGTCTGGATCTCTTGTAGCGCACGCTGCAGCCCATCCACAGTGGCCAATTGGGAATCACGTTCGGCAGCAGTCTTCTCGTAAGCATCCTTCACGGTAGCAAGCTGTTCCTCTAGATCTACGACTTTCTCGCCCAAGCTTTCTCTGACTGACCGCTCCTCCATTGCCAGCACTTCCCAGTTATGCATGGCCTCCTTAGCCTGCTCAAACTCGGATTGTAGGTAATTTTCCTGTTCAAGCAATTCTTCTTTCTCCTTAAGCCAATTTTGTTGTGATAGACTTGTGCGGTCCCGCAATGTTGAAAGCTCTTTCGACATCTCGCTGTTTGCTTGCGATAGTTGCTCTAATTCAGTAGACTTGTGTTGGGTTTCCTTCTGTAAGGTCGAATTCTGCTCTTCCAGCTCTTCGATTCTCGATCTCGCTTGCGCAATTTCTTCCTATCCGAGGTTTAGTCAAGAGTGAACGGAGGTTCGACTTGAGGCGGCAGAACATACTGCGTCTTCCCGGAGTCTCTCTCCAAGCTGGGACTTGATCGTATTCACCCTTTCCAAGAGTTTCTGGAACTGCGTTTCCGCATGCTCCTTCTTGC